TCCGTGTCAGCTTGTAGGGAAGTGTACTGCTCCTTGACATAGAAAGCTACACCCCCGCCCCTCCTCCCAACATGGTCCCTCCTGTACAAGGTATAACCATCTATACCTGTGGTCCAGTCATAGGTGGAGTCCCACCAGGTCTTTGTTGTCCCTATGAGATCATATTTGTTATTGCTTAGCAGAAGGGTCAGTTCCTCCTGTTTATTCCCCATGCTCCTGGTATTTGTATACAGGCAGCTAAGCCTGCCACCAGAAGCCCTAGGCTTCTTTGTGCATTTAGGAGAGTCCTGTCCTTGGGCTGGGGTCAAAGTAAGTTTGATTGTATTTTCTGACCTGCTGGTTATGTGTTTGTTACTTCCTGGGCTTGCTCCAATGGTTGTCTGCCTGTCCCCCGGAGAGCTTAGTTTAAAGCTCTATCAAGCAGGTCAGCCAATCTGATCGAAAAAAGTTTCTTTCATGTTGGGATGAGGTGCTGGCCATCTCTTCCCAACAGACCACTGCCTCTGTCTCTGAGGTGTGGACTGTGATTGAAGAAGCCAAAGCCTTTGTGGTGCAACCAACGCCTCAGTCTTCTGTTTACTTCATCAGTACATCTCTCCCTCCTGTGCCCATGCCCCGTAACCAGGAGGATCGAGGAGAAAACCACCTGTGCCCCCAACCCTCTGAGCCCAGCCCCCAGAGCCCTGTTTCATGACCCAGCTGGGATTGCTCCGAGAAGGTCATTTGTGCCCGCATTGATGAGGAACATGGGGTAGTGTTTGCAGGGTCAGACAAGTTTAAGGATCCTCTCAGCTACATCCTGGACCCCCGGGAGGCAGCAAACCTCATGGGCTAAAGGGTCAGAGCGGCAGATGAGTCCCTCTGTCTCCCCCAGGAGGAAGTCTCCCACAATGACCACTCTATGTCTCTTCTTAGGTGTGGTTGGTAGTCGCCTTCCTTCCTCAAGTGCTGGAGCTGGCGACTCTGCTGGTGTTGTGAGGGGTTTGTATCTGTTGTAAAGCTCCAGGGGGGAGGTGACCCTGGCGCAGGATGCCTTGGGGCCGGAGACAACCTTTGTCCAAGCAACCTCCAGCTGGACTTCACAGGGGCTCCTTTTGCATGCCCTCATCCTGCTAGCCTTCCTTGCTCTTCCCTTCTTGTTCTTCAGGCAGAGAGCCTGGCAGTAGGTCTTGATCTCCTCCTTGCTATCCGTGATGGCACGCAGCCTCTGCACCGCAGCCTGGAGCTCCCCTGTCTGGCACTCCAGCGACTGTAATGTGGAGCACACCCCACAAGGGGAGATGTCCTTGATCCTGATCCCAGATGCCTGCATTCACAGCCAAGAGCCAGGGGCTCCATCTGGGTCAAGGCCTCAATGGTACCAGAGCGGGGGCTCCAGCTGCAGGGAGGAATCTCTGGGGTGCAGGGCGTCACCACCATCGCACAGGTAGTAGTCCGAGCTACTGCTCTGCAGACCCTTCTCCAGGCTCACCACCTAAAGCAGGCTTGTCCAACATACGGCCTGCAGGCCGCCATGCGACCCACCAAGCTGTTTTCTGAGGCCCACGGTGCTGCGAAGGGGAAATAAAAGTAAACACTGTTTACTTTCCTTCCCGCCCCTTGTCCCTCCCCCAGCCCCCCAGCAGCTTCCTAATGGCTGCTGAAGGGCTGGGGAAAAGATAATGTTCCCACATGCACTGCATCAGCTTGACGTTGCCAACGCGGCGCATGTGGGAAGAGGAGTAGCCGTGTGCCACTCGGGACAGGATGAGCCCAGCCGGAGCAGCAGGGGCTCAGCTGCATTTTCCCCCTACCTGCGCTGGTGGGTCCCGAGCGGCACACAGCTCCGCCGCCGCCTCTGCTGGCTGGTGCCGACCCGGGAGGGTCGTTCCCATCCGGAGCAGCACGCAGCTGAAGCTGGATTCCCACTGAACTACATTCATGCCCCGTGGGAATAATCACAAGTCAGCAAAATGGGTGGGAAGGAAAAGCCAGAGTTTTAACTGTGCACCCTAAAAAAGGCCATGAAAGAGTCAGAAGCACAACCGCAGAACCAGGACAGCTAGCTGGTGATGGCAGTCCAGTAGGTATGATGGGAATCCTCTACTCTCATGAGATTTAGGAAAGCAAGAGGACATGAGAGCAACATGTAGGCAGAGACAGTGCAGACCCTTGGAGCCATGTTAATAAGTGAGGACAACTGTGTTCCCACTCTGGTCGCCACTCAAACCTGCTGCCAAAAAATAAGTGCTTCCTACCCACTTACACTTTACCTGCTCTGAACTGGAAATGAGGCAGTGAGGGCCCTTCTAGGGTGGTCCACGGACAGTAGAAGCAGATCACACACAGAGAGCGAGAGATGTTCCCAGACTGTCCTCACCACCACATTTCTTCTGAAAAGCAGGGATATCCTGAGGTTCATGTAATGTTTGTAAAATGCTTGGAGAGCCCCACATAGATGCACTGCATAGAAATGCAAAATATATTTTACTTATTTGGTTGGCGTCTTGGGCTGAGATTTTCAAAGCTGAGTCAAAAGGCCAACTTCTATTAAAATGAATGGGATTTAGAGGGCTCCAAAGCTTTTATGACAACTTTGTAACATGCCTATCCACCCCTTTTTGCAAATCTCAGCCATAGTTTGGAAGCTCAGCCAAAGAACATAAGAGCATAAGAAGTGCCACGCTTGGTCAGCCGCATGGTCCATCTAGCTCAGTATCCTGTCCTGAACAGTGGCAGAGGTGGATGCTATAGAGGGAGAGTTTTCAACTGGTTAGACCCGTTTCATTGTCACTTCCTGCAACTTCATTGGTGTCAAAGGTCACATGACATCACTTCCTGATGTGATACCACTTCCTGTGAGGTCTTTGAATAAGGCTTGCTGGCCAACTGGGTGATAAAAAGTTCACACTCTGGCCCCACATTCAAAAAGGCTGGACACCCCTAGCCTAGAGCCTCACGTCCCTCCTGCTCACTTTCCTGTGCAAACTCCCACACTAACTCGCACACCGGGCCCAGAGTCCACCTGTTTGCGTGCTCTGTTCATGCAGGTCTGGTGACGTGGCTCCCTGAGGGGCTTGGCCAAGGAGGAGCTGGGGGGCACGACCCTTCTTGGCGCCCCGCAGCTGCCTAGCACACACCCACAGCAGGCCCCACCTACCTCCCAGCTGCACTGGGGGTCTGGGTTGGGGTCTCCCAGGTGTCCGCTGAGGGTCCTATGGGCTTCCGCCTGTATGTCTCACTCTGGAGCCTGGCCAACACCGCAGCTTCTGCTGTTGGTGGACCCTTTTAAAACATGCACATGTGCAGTGGGCCCGCCCGCAGCGCTGCCCCACTGCAACTGGGGGTTCCCATCCTGCTGGAGAAGGGGGCAGGGAAACGCCCCCCCCTCCCCAATCCCTCACTGTCACACACACCAGGAGGGATGTTGCATGGCTCCCTGGGGGGCTGGGCCAAGTAGGAGCAGGGGGAGGGGTGGCATGACTCTCCTGGGCTCCTCTCAGCTGCCTAGCAGCCAGCACTGCCAGCACCTGTCCCACCAACTCCAGCAGTGCACCCCAAGTGAGGAGGACATGCCGGGGGTGGCTCCAGCAGTGAACAGCCCCAGCTCCTCCCCAGAGCGGGCCACTGCCTAAGTGGCTAGGCACCGTGCCTCCGTGCCCCAGAACACCACAGGCAGCCAGACCAGCTCACCACAGGCAGGGACTAAATCTGACCTCCGGGAGTGCCTGCCACGCCCATCCATTAAGCCCCACATAGGGAGGGGGTCAGCGGAAGAAGGGGGATGCCATGGCCACCCATGCCTGCACCAGCTCACCCACCTGCCCCTGGGCTGCCTACCTGGAGCCAGGGGCCCCACACACAGGCTTGGACCCTCCCCTTCCCGCCCTGGCTGGCTGAGCTCCTTCCCTCCCCACTGGAGTTTCCCCCTGCAACATGCAGGGAGGCAGGAGGGAGTTCAGGACTTTACTGAGTGGCCCCCAAGCTCCCAACTAGGCAGCCAGGGACCTGTCACATGCAGAGAAACTTGTCAATGGCAGCAGCGATCTTCTTGAACACGGGTCAGGGATTCATAGCATAGGCAGAGATACCCCTCCAGGCAGCAGTGCACATTGTAGGGAAGCATGGGCTTGCCTGTGATGCTGTTGAAACTCAGGGCCCCGTGCCATGTTCTCAGCCATGCCCAAGACACCACAGTGATCAGCAGCAGCATGGCATAGTGGGTAGGGCACCCCCGGTGCATTCAAAACAGCTCATCACGGCATGCCTGGGTGGCTGACCAGGGCCACACTTGGAGCGGAGGCTACTTCAGGCCAGGGAAGCATGTGGCCAGGGAACATGACATGGGGCAGCCTTTTAAATAGTGGCCCTAGCACCTGGGCAGCTGCAGTCAGAGAGACAGAGAAGGGCAGAAGCAGCCCTGAACCCGACTACTCCTATCGGGCACCAGTCTGCACCTGACAGGCTGGCTGCAGCTTTCCTCACAGCTAACTTAGGATCACTGTCTCTTCAAGCAGTGAGGAAGGCTGCAGCCAGAACTGCTTTCCTCAGCACATGGCTCTGTACCCACCCAGGCACTGGAGGTCTCGAATGCAGGCCCAACATGATCACATATAAAGGTTATATACTGTCTAGTTACCACCACTTTAACCAGTAGAGTTGATCTGGGATCGACTCTTTTGGGGAGCCTGCCCTTCACCATCACAACTGGAGAAAAGCTTGCATGGACAGGTAGATTTGGCGTTCTGTTGTAAAGGCCACAAGGCTGGGGCTAATGCTTGTCTCCATTAGCAGGGATCTCCCAACCTCCCCATACCTCTTTCCAAGGAAAACCCTGTGGAAATCACGGTGCATGCAGTTTGTAACCCTTGCAGACAGGAAATGTGCTTGGCTTGTCAGTTCAGAAACAAGAAGGCAGTTTGCAGTAGGTCAGCAGAGCTAATGGAAAGTTGGAAAAAGTAGATGGTTGGGGCACCAACATATCTGACTAACTACCCCAACACAACCCAGACCAACCACTTGGGTTGTAGACAGTTTTATTTATAAAATAGCTGCAAATATTGTACATTTCCTCCAGAGAACATTCAGCTGCCCTTCTTGCATCTCTGGTCCTTGTATCCTTCACCCCCACTGAAGGTTGGCTGGGATTGGCCAGCCTCCAGGAGGCGGGGCCTGAAGCGATGGGGGAAGGTCTTGTATTGGAGGCCAGCCAGGGGGGTACTGAAACACAGATGGTTTCTCAGGCAGAGGGCTGGCAGGGAGGGAAGAAAAAAAAAGCATTAGATTCAGTTTCAGTTGTGCAGAGCCATGGCGATATTCTCTGGCCATGATAGCCACCCCTTTCTCAGCACAGTTTTTCAGTGTTCACCTCCCCCACCCCAAACATTTCTCTGGCCAAGTGAGAGGCCACAGCTTATCCCTGTACAAAGGCTTCTGGGAAAGTGGGTACAAGTCTCATTAGATCAAAGCCTGTGACTTAGAAGGTGGGGGACGGGGGGGGTGTCACAGGGAACAGTTTGTTGGGGAACAGAAAAACGAGGAGAGAGTAGATGCTGGAACACTTCACAACCAAGGATGGTGCAAGAAGGCAGTGTTCATCTCTGTCCGCTCACTTACTGGTCTCGGCTCACAAACCTGTGTATGATAGAGTTTTGACTAAACCTGATGTTTCCAAAATTTATTTTGGGCCAGCTATAATTCTGAGCTAGGTAGGCACTGCTGAAAGGGCTGGATATAAAGGAGCTCCCAAGATGCCTGTGGAAGTACCTAATCATGTTATTAGGGAAGGAAGCTCTAGCTGCCTGGGGGCAGCTAGAGCTTCCTTGTCTCCTTGTCTAAATGCTGCAGAACTTTTATTCATGTTCTGTGGTATGGATCAGTGAAGGTCCCCAAGATCAGTGCATCTGAGTAAAGAATGGCAAAAGCTTCCTAATAGGACATACCCTTTACTCCTCTCCCCCAGAGATCTACATGGCACTGGTAGCTCAGCCACCATGCCACACAACCATGATGCTGTCCCCTGGAACACAGAGTCTCCTTCCAGTTCAAGTGTGTATCATTTCCCAAAAATGTGCTTGTGAGTGAGAGAGTGTCTGGCATGTTTGTGGTTCTGGGAGACAGGAGCTATCACTGAGGCACCAAACACTTGCTTGACAGGACAAAGATTTGCTCAGTTAACACTGGGCAGCTCCTTAGCCCGAACTCAAAGTGAAGTGCCCTCTCACTCTGGAGAGGATAATCAATCAGTTTGTACGCCAGGGGCCAAACTGATCCACTGTATTGCTTTGCTCCAGAGGAGTAAAGCTTGACACCTAAGTCATAAATTCATGGGCAACCAGCCCCTTCTCCATTATATTTGCCATCCTAGGAGCAAGAAACATTTGCTCTTCCACACAAGCCCCAACAGCAGCCTTGTGCTGCTTCTTGGAGACCTCTACGTCTGACCCTCATGCATCTCTTTAATTGTTAAGCCAGGACAGACCCAATCAAGCTTTACGTAATGGGATTTATCCAGCAAATCAGCACTACCTCCACTCCTTCAGAGCCCAGATGATGTGCTCAGAGCAGTTATTAATGTTCAGAGGTCTGCTATGCATGCTGTCAGAGTGGACTGATCATTTGGCCTAACATTCACATTTCTTGGGTGATTTTTCTGGACTTTGCATGACATTGCTGAGAAATGCTATGTGGATGGTTTTGGCTTGTGCGGGAATGTTGCTTCCATCATATTCAGGCCTTGCCTACATTAGAAAGCTGAAGCTGGGTAAGGACACAGTTGTAGAATGCTGACTGATATACCTGATTCCTGTACTGGGATGAAGAAAGAGAGACTGCAGCATAAGATATCTTTGTACCAATATAACTGGCTCCACATTAACTGATAGCAACACTGGTGCAATCCCTAAAAAAAAAAACCTCAAAAAACTACCCTGCTCCCCTGACACAGGGGACACAACACTACCAACCCACGTGCGTATACCAGGCCTGATGATCATTCTTAGATTTCCGATGATCATTCTTAGATTTCCTTCTATCACTGCCTCTATCCAAAGAAAGACACCAGGCCCAGGCAGTGAGGGTTAGATTTTTCCAATCAGCCCATCCCTTTAAATCTAGGTTAGAAGGGACTGGATGGCTGTGTACATATATGTTAGACAAGCTGGTGGAGCTTTATCCATTTCTCACAGGATGGAAGGCCATGTGAAAGTAACTCAGCTGAGAGGACCCAGAGTGGCCAAGGGCAGAGCTGCAGACACAGACACTTCAGGTTATGGCCTGAGGCACATTATCAGTGGAGGCTAGAGCTACCTGTACCATGCCTGTGTCAGTGGAGGCAAAAGTACTCAGCTTCCAAAACCTTTTCCATCACTGCTTGAGCTGCTCCTACCTCTAGCTACATTCACAACAGTCAGAGATGGGAGCAGCCCCATTGTGTCTCCTGATGTCATCTCTGCTGGTAGACAGTACCTTCTCTACCACTTTGTGTCATCTAAAAGGCTTCACAGAAGCTACTAGCCAGGTGAGGCAGGCATGTGGGCAGGGCTATCATTCAAGCTTACACACCCATGAAAGCACTGCTGGATGCTTCCACAGAACATCACAGAGCCAAGTGAAAGGATAGACGGAAGAAAATGACTGCTCATCCAGTACCACAAAACAGTTCTGAGTACAAACCACAGCTGAACAGACCCCTACCACACTTGGGAGCACCTCTAAAGAATAGTCCCCAGCACACAGTGTAGAGCAGCAGCTTCTTGCCAGGCAAAGCAGAAAGCACAGATGTCTCAGCCAGCAGATCTCAGGGGCTGCAGGGTGTTTTGAGGCTGTTTTAGTATCGGTGAACTAAGCTGGTGGGGACAGCCAAAGGTGGGGTTTGGCTCCTGGGAAGCAGATATACTAGCAGAGCTTCCAGAGACTGAGGTGGGGTAAAAAACCAGACACCTGTCACTCCCAGCCCTCTTCCCATCTGTGAGGACCAAGGAGGCAGAACGCTGGTTAGTGATGATTCCACAGAGTCTGGCAAAGCTCTGAAAGGATCCCTGAGCAGGGCGAATGTAATGGAGTAGATGCTCTGCATGGGTATCAAGGTTATCGACTGTAACAGTACTCTGCTGCAGGGCTAAGAGCAGCAGAGCTGCGGGGGGAATAAATGGGAAACAGCAAGCCTAGCAATACTCGAGAAAGAAGATTGAGCCCAAACCAACGCAGGAAGGACAGAAGCATGGAGATGAGAACAAAAGGGAGATTTGGCGCTTGACCAAGCGTCATCCAATTAAGCCTGCAGCACAGTCAGGTGACCGCAAAGACAACAGGCACTATCAGGCTTTCAGAGTGCCACTGGGAGGAGCTGATCCCCCTCCCTTGCTAGCACACCAAAAGGCAGGCATTGGTAGAGCTCTGCAAACAGGATAGGCAGAGGGTGGGGAAGCTGTCCTGGAGATGGGGTAACTGGGCAGTCCCTGACTGAGTGTTAATGACACTGAGCACTTCCTTGGCATTCTCCACCAAGACAACTCCAAGCACCTTCCACCAAGGAGAGAAGTTTCACTTTCTCTGCTTCAGAGAGGAAAACTGAGGCACAACGAAAGCAAGGCCCAGATTTTCAGTTGGGCATGCAGAGACAAGTTTCTACCCTCTTCTGATGTATGCATGCAAGTATGATGCACACATCAAGTGTGCATTCACAGCTCTGAAGCCTGCAACTTGCAAAGGCTCTAAGTCAGTAGCTGTGCCTCCTGACTCTGCATCCCTAGGGTCCATCAGGACTATTCATTCTCCTCAGAAGAATGGCTCCTAGCTGCACATACCTGTTACTCTGAGCCAAGCTCAGCCTCTTTGCTCTCTTCTCTAGCCACTCCTTGATTGTACCAACTGGGACATCTGCTCCTTCCTGCTGCTGCTCCTTTGATCTCCGCTCCTCTGTTTGAGGGGAGAGAAGGCAAGAGGGGATTCATCAGAGCTAGCACTACAATCCTTTCACTCCATTTAACATACTGCTCATTATCCTTCAGCTATTTCCTTGCAGTCAATAGTTTTTCCAATTCAATTTGGCCCATGGCAGGCCCTCCTCCTCCACTGCACACCTGCCATTGGACGCTTGACTTCCCCAGGGCCAGGGCCGGGGCCGGGGCCAGGGCCAGGAGCACAAGCCAATTCTGATTACCTGCACAGCAAGCAGAGGAGCAGGTCAGGCACTTACTGAGACAACCTGGCCCCCTCCCCACTCTGGGAGATTGGCTTTGACCTCTCCTGCAGCATTTACTGCTGGCCCAGGGCCTAGAATAGCTTCCAGAGAACCGGTCCTCTGCCTGGCAGGGAAGTAACCAGCCACCTCTGCTCCAGCTAGCTGGTTATGAAGGGGGAGTTTCTACACGTCAATGTGGAACTGGCATGAGTTTCAGAGGTCCAGAGGGCACCTGTGTGAGAGGGAGAGACTAGGCTTTGGGGAAGCCTAGCAAGAACACTAGCAGAGTTTGTTCTCAGGGTGTTTGCTGCTCAATGCTTTCCAGTCCCAACTGCTTGCAGGACAGAGACTTGCCTGACCAGTGGTTAGTCCAGGCTAACATTCTATCTGGATATTTCAGTGCCAACCCAGCAGGGCCAGGAATGGTAAAACTAAACTGGAGCTTCCATTTTGCATAGCCAAGGGGGAGATGGTAACTATGCCCCTTCTTGAACACGATCAACGACTCATGACCCCAGTGGCTGGGGGGGGACACAGTGGCAGCAGGAGCATGGCGGCCGGAGCTGGGGAGCTCCCACAACCTGTCGGTGGCCGGTGAGGAGGCAAGTGCCGACCAAGGTCGGCAACCATCTTCAGCCGCCACCAACAGCGTCAGAAGTGGTCAGCAGGGATTGCAGACCACCCGCAGACGCCACTGGCACTCTGGCATCGGGGTGGTGAGTGGTGACTGCCTACCTTTTTGTAGTGGTTGCACCGCCACGCACAGGGGGTGCACATGCACCCATGTGCACCCCCTACGCATCGCCCCTGTTGCACACTTTTAATCCCAGAGCTGCCAGGTGCCAGTTCAGCCCCTGACTGAAGATGCAGCAACCACAGGTCTGCTCTAAATTAGTCAGGTAACAGGCCTCCCAAATCACCAGAGTGCAATGGCATCCAGGCGCACACACTTCCTGCAGCCTGTCCCCTAGGTAGCAACTGTGACCCTCTGACAGCCAAAGAATTCTCAGTTGTCCCAGTCAGAGTAGCTCTATGGTCCCTGTGTACCCAGATGAGGCCATGGCAGAGGTCAGGATCTAACTAATACCACAATCACATACCTCCCCAGAAGCATATCAGACAGTCAGCAAACAAGACATTCAGAGCTATGTTAAGTCCACAATACATTTCCTTTAGAAGGAAATGCAACTACTTAAAAAACTGTATGATATTAACAAAGGAACCTCCTCACCCTCCTGGAATATTCAAATCCTTGGGGCCTGGTCACTCCTGAACAACCTTCCCTTCCCTACCCTACACCATCCAGAAATCATAAGCCCAGGGATCACCCTTCCAGGGACAGCTGCTCTGAGCCACTTTCTGCAAGGAGCCTGCTCAGCACCCAAAACATCACACGTCACACTCTTAGGGAAAATATTATACATTTCCAGACAGAGTGTGAAATTAATATCATTCGGGCAGAATGAAGGATGGCTCCATCCTAACTGTGGCAACCAATTATTCATCTGCCTGTTGAATATTAATGAGGACAGCAGAAACATGCTACACAATGAGCAGCAGAAGATGGATAATTTGTCTTCTGGCCTTTTCACCTGGTGCTGCTGGAAGAAGCTGGTAGTGTATTTGCTGCCTCTACCACAGAGGCCTGGTTCGATCCCAAAGCATATGCGCTGCTTGGGAATCCAAAGCCAAGGACCTTCACTGCATGAAAGGCAGCTCATCAAGTCTCCTGTCCTCCTTGGATTCTCAGTTTTGAAAACCACCCAGCACTGGTCCCAAACTGGAAGGGACATGCAGAGGGTGTCTAGGCTAACAGAAAGGGCACCGGAGTGGGACTTAGGAGAGCTAGGTACAATTCCCAATTCAGCTACAGTCACAAAGGAGGTCTATGGGCAAGCTGCTTAATCTCAGTTTACCTCAGTTTCTCCCCTCTGTAGATCGAGTATTGGTCCTCTGACCTTGTAGTGAGACTTGGAGGGTCATCTACCAGTGACTGCAAGGTACTTAGGTCAGTGAGGACAGCCACACAAACACCTAGACACAGACGAGGTTGGGGCTTCCCTTTTACGCCACCCCATCAGTAGGGCAATGCCAGGCAGGAGAGTGCCCTACACTCAGGCTGCTCAATATTTAGCCATGAGGGTAGCACTAATAGAGCAAACCAGGCTCAACTG